GGTTGAAGTTGGGTGTAATAGAGTCAGCTGTTTTTCTGTGTCTGCCATACACAGAAGACCACAGCTTGCACAACTGCACAGTTATGTTACTAGAAACATCTAGAAACCAAGCTGAAACAACAACTGTCATGCCTCTCCCATCCCCACTTCCTCCCATCTACTGAGCTAAAGAGGGCAGTTGCCTAAACAGAGAGGCCAAATGTGACCAAACTATGGTTTGGGGTTTCTCAGACACCAAAAGAATTGTCTCCCCCCCACCCACCCGGCCACTTCACTCATGTAAGTTTGAGGTCAAGTTTCTAGCTGCTTGCAGGTTTAGCCACATGGAATCTCAGCCAGAACCAGCCAGGAGGAGACCTGAGGGGAGATTTTGGCCTCAGAAGTGAACTTGGATCACCTCTGGTGCTCTAGACGCCTAACCTGGCACTCTTTCCACTGACCCCAGGAAAGCAAGACGTGGGGGTTGGGAGTGAAGAGGAGGATCCAACCCGTGTGAGGACTTTCTCCAGCCCTGAGAAACGACTTCACGGAGTCATTTTCCATCTGAAGTCTTCAATAAACACACATCTAGACTGTTCTTTTTCAGCAAACAATGTTGCCACATCCTTCCTGCAAAAAACAGAAGCTTCCTATTAGGGACCATCCTACTTTCTGCCTTCAAAGCTATGTACTCTCTTGTGTTGAAATCTTTGGGTTAATGTCAGCATGCCATACAGCTCTGCATCCTTTGAAATTTAATCTATTTGTTGCTGTATTTATATCAAGTGGGTCTCTTATAGACAACATGTACTTGGATTTTGCATATTTCATTCATTCTAAATCTCTGATTTTTAATAATGTTTAGATTTTTTTACCTAGTGCTACCATAGATGCAGGTGGATTGGTATCTGCTACATTTTCAGCTTTTCTGTTCCTTGCATTTCTTGTTCAGTTTTTGATTGGTTGTTGTTTATCTTCAATTATTTTCCTATCGACTCTGCTTTTTAAAATTTATTGGTTTATAGTTTATTCCCCAAATGGCCACAATAGCCAGGGCTGGACCAGGCTAAAGCCAGGAGCCAGTCACTCCATCCAGATTTCCCATGAGGCTGCCAGGAACCCAAATGCTTCAGCTATCATCCGCTGCCTAACATACACATTGACAGGAAGTTGAATCGCAAATGCAGGAGCCAGGACACAAACCAAGCACTCCAATATGGGTGCAGGTGTCCGAGGAGCATCTTAACTGCTGTGCCATCCATCCCTCTACTCTGGTTTTAACTGAGCATTGTTGTATGATTCCATTTTTTCTCCACATTTATTAACCAAATTATATTTCTTTTTCTGCTTTTTTTAAAATTGGAAAGTCAGATGTACAGAGAGGAGAAGAGATGGAGAGGAAGATCTTCCATACGAGGATTCACTCCCCAAGCGGCTGCAACAGTCAGTGCTGCGCCACTCCAAAGCCAGGAGCCAGGAGCCTCTTCTGGGTCTCCCACACAGGTGCAGGGTCCCAAAGCTTTGGGCTGTCCTTGATTGCTTTCCCAGGCCACAAGCAGGGAGCTGGATGGGAAGCAGGGCTGCTGGGATTAGAACTGGTGCCCCTATGGGATCCTGGCACATTCAAGGCGAGGACTTTAGTAGCTAGGCTATCATGCTGGGCCCCAAAATTATGTTTTTTTTTTTAAGGCATACATTTAGTGATTTCCCTAGAGTATGCAATATTATGTTGCAAGGAATTCGAATTCTCACTGTATGATTCCCTGGGTAGTACAGGTCCATTATAACAGTGCTCCAAACCCTTCTTTCCCATTCTTCAGACTGCTGCTGTGCCATATCCACTTATCCACAGCCTACAATCACTTTATACTTTGCCTTGATTACCTTTGTTTGAAGTCAGTTACTAGCCTCAACTTGAAAAAGAACATTTACAAAATTCCTGAAGTTCTTCCCAGGACTCAGGAATGCACCTGGAGCAGCCAGATGGATGAGATGCAGGAGGAGCAGAATTCATGCCTTCCCCAGGTGCACCATCCTTTCAGCACCTGGCTTTGATCACCAGTCCAGGAGCTCTCAGGGAGGCCTGGTCAGGCAGACTTGATTGATCATTAACTCAGTCTCCAGTTTGAGGAAGGTTGTGGGCTTCATTGTAGAAGGCTTGGTCTTTCTGGCTGCCCAGCCTTCATCTTGACAGTATCCAACTGCTCCCCAAGAGTCACCATTCAAACGGAAGCAGCAATCACCCCAGTCACTCAGAAGACCCAGACAGTCTGTGTCAGGAACCAAGACAAATATCACACATCCAGGAAACCATAGAACCCTTGATGTATGAATTACATGGATGTCATTTTTTGCATTGATTTATTTTAATTTTGTTTGAAAGAGATGCATAGACAGATCTCCCACTTGCTGGTTCCATTTCCCAAACGCCTGCAACAACTGAGACTGGGCCAGGTTGAAAGCAAGATCCTGGAGCTCACTCTGGGCTTCCCAAATACAGCAGGGAACAAGTGCTTGAGCCATCACCTGCTGCCTTCTAGGGTGAGCATCAGCAAGAAGCTGGATTGTAAGCGGAGGAGCTGGGATACAAACCAAGCACCTCAATATAAGGTACATCCCAAGTGGTGCCTTCAGCACTATACCAAACCCTCACCTCCGTGCTGATTCTAAACGTGTACTCTGATCTTTGCAAATTCTCTGTCACACCTGAGTCTTATCCTTAAGCCTGACTTTTCAGATTTTATTCCTTGCCCTTTATATACCTTGTAGTAGTCTTTTCAAAAAATATATTTATTTGAAAGGCAGAGTTACAGAGAAAGAGACCTGTTATCTGCTTCACTCCTGTTAGTTATTTAAAACAGTATTAGAGTTCTAGTTCTAGTTCATACAATATTAAGATACTTTACACACAGCTAATTCCCACAACCTGGTTCTTTACCGTGAGCTGAAAACACCAGACGCAACGAGGTATCTCAGAGGTTTATTCCAGCGGGGCAGGAACAAGGTGGAGGTGGTGGAGATCAGGAGAAAAGGGCAGAAGGAAATACCTGGGACCTTTTATGCAGGTAGGCCCACAAGGTGTGGGGGCGGGGATTGGGAGGGGTCGAGAGCAGGCCCCAGGGGATTAGTGCCTGGGGATGACTGGTGAGTGGGCGGGGTTGGGGAAGGGGCTGGGAGATTGGGGGTGGGATTCTCAGCTGGAATGCCAGGTTACATCTGATTGGTGGATGGTTAGGCTGGCTCGAACTTCCTGAGCTGTGAGGAAGAGGAAATGGCGCCAGGTCCAGGGTATCAGTCTCCGTGACGACCTTCAAATCACTCCTCACAACTCCATGAATGGTCACAACAGCCATGACGGACCAGGGTGAAGCCTGGAGCCTGGAACTTTTCCTGAGTTTTCCCATGTGGGTGGTATTCTACCGTCCTGTGACTGAAGCTCAGGCCTTGGGCCGTTTCTGCTGCTTTCGCAGGGGCGTTGGCTGGGAGCTGCACAAGAAGTGAGCAGTTCAGATTTGAACTGATGCTCCCATTGGGATGTCAGCATTGCCAACAGCGGCTCCACCCACTGCACCATGACACTGACCTCTGCCTTGTGACTTTTCTATGGAAAGCTAGATGTATCAGGTATCAGGCACCAAGATGCACAGTCCTTCAGTGGAGGGTGTTTGCACAAGCCATGTTGGCTACAGCTATGGTGTTGGCTCATATAATCTCATCTAGTAAGTTTCTCTAGAAATGCCTTCTTAAATACAATTAAAACCTATTGTTATTCTACAGATGTTCTGATGATGTGGTTGTAAGGTATTATGGCTGTGTGTATGTTGGCTTAGTAGGGGGTGAGGGGAGATCTTCTACAACCCTGTGACTAAAGCTCATGGTTGGCTTTTAAAAAATTAAGTCTCATCTACGGCCATCCCACCCTGAACCCCCGATCTCGTCTGATCTCGGAAAAATTACGTCTCAAATGGGGCTCATGTTGTGACATAGTAGGCTAAACCTCTGCTACAACACCGGCACTCCCTAAGGATGCCAGTGCATGTCCTGGTTGCACCGGTTCTGATCCAGCAGTCTGCTTATGGTCTGGGAGAGCAGTGTAAGATGGCGCAAGACTTGCATCCACAGGGGAGACCCAGAAGAAGCGTCTGGCCTCTTGGCTTCTGGCTTTACATCCACCCAGCTATAGCTGCTCCACTCATTTGGGGAGTGAACTAGAACATCTGCCTCTGTCTCCTCTCTTCTCTGTAACTCTGCCTTTCAGATAAAAATCAGGAGGAAAAAAGCCTTTGGAAAAAAAAAATGAGCCAAAATCAATGTGCTATCATCTCCAGAGAAGTTTACCTTTGTTTCCACATACACACATAGCCAGGAGGGTTGGTTGGGCTAAACTAACTGCCCTTTTCTGAGATCGGAGGCTAATGAAGTAACACCCCTTTGTTATAGAAACTGAGTACCAATTTCTAGAGAAATTTCTTGGGGTGCAGGGTCCGGGTACAGGAGCGAAGTCCGCTTTCCAGTCTTCCCACTGGGATGTCGGTAGTCTTCTCCCGTTTTTTGAGTGGGAAAATTACACTCAGAGCAAGCTCAGGTGACTGACAAGTAGGGAAGCCAGTGAAGAACCCATCACATCACAGTTTCAAATACTGACGAACCTGTTTCCTTCCTCTTCGCGCCCAACACCTTCCAACCCTGAGGCGGAGTTTAAGAGCCGACCCAGCCAGGCAGTGATGTCATTCGGCATCCCCGCCCACGCCCCTATTTGGCGTGGCCACGCCCCTTGCTGCGGCCGCCTCAGTGCAGCCTCTGGCCCCGCCCCACGCCTGCGCTCCCTCCGCGAGGCTCCCGATCCCGCCCCCCGCAGGCCCCGCCCCTCTGCAGGCCCCGCCCCACTCCCTCAGCGGGGCTCCCGATCCCGCCCCCCGCAGGCCCCGCCCCTCTGCCGGCCCCGCCCCCGCAGGCCGCGCCCCGCCCCCGCGCTCCCTCTGCCAGGCCCAGCACCAGCCCTCCGCCTGCGTACCGACGCTGCCATCTCTACCCCGGAGTTCCCTGGTGGCTCGCGGAGCGCCCTCTGACGCCTGCCTGTTCCGCTGCCCAAGGGGCCGCCAGGAGCTCGCATCCCGGCGGCGGGAAGCTCACTGGGGGCGCCTGGCTGCGAACCCAAGGCCCCGACTCTGGGTGGAGGGCTGGAGGCCGGCATCTCTGACAGGAGTCGTGGTGCTCAAAGCCAAGGTAAAGCGGCATGGTGGGGTGGAGGCCCCTTGCAGTCCTCTGGTCGGCCCTGTGGCCGTGCCCGGATCCTGGGACCTCAGTCCGCGCGCCCTGCGCCCCGCATGGGGGACCCTTGGAGACCCCGCAGCCCTCCAGCTGCTCTGGGATGCCGCGGGCGGCCCCGTCAGTCATCGCCCTGCTGGGGGCCTCCTTGGCTGGGAGTCCAGGCTTGTGTATCCCCTTTCCCCCCCGAATAAAGGGTGTCGTCTTCCCGGACGAGGAAGCCCAGAGTGCTTGGGCGGGTCACCTGGCTCTTGTCACTGCTGCCTGGGCATCGTTAGGAGGCTAGGGGGTCGCAGTCCTCAAAATCCAGCCCTCTTTCAAAACGGACTCATTGGGTGAGGCCTCGGGTTCCGGGGCCTCCTGCCCCTGCACCCCAGAGTTGAGTATGCTTTGCCCCCACCTGCTCTCCCGCCTGGGAGCAGTCGCTGCTCCAGCCGAGGTTGGAGTCCTGAGCCCTCGAGATCCGTCGGTGGGGAACCGGGGTTGAGGGGAGGAATGCGGGGACACTTTCGGGGACCCCAGACCCCCCCCCCACCGCCGGGTCAGTCGGGCGAGCGGTTGGGAAAGATCATTGTTCAGGTGCTGGGCGTGTGGGGCGCCCGAGCGAATCAATCGGAAAGTACCGGAGTGTGGAAACTCTGTCCACTCGTTTATTTGACTAGCGGGGAACTAACCTGCTTTCCATTTCAGTCTTTGTTCTGAAATAACAAACGAATGTAACCCCAGCATGCTCTCCTTCCCTGGGGGAAAGGGAAAAGGACAACGCCCCTAGCAGGCTGTCTTGCTGTGTGTGTGTGTGTGTGTGTGTGTGTGTGTGTGTGTGTGTGTGTCTTGGAACAGAAGTTCCTTGTGATTGCTTTAGACCTCCTACAACTTGATTAAAAATTGAGTTCAATGAAGTAAGCTTAAGGATGACACAAAATTTTAATGGTGATAAAAAAAACTGTAGACCAAAGAGAAAAATTGATAAAGACCATAAAAATACAATTGCAAAGGAGATAATTTGGAGGACAGAACAGACTAAATATGACCAAAAAATAAAAACACTTTACTAGAGGAAAAGACGGAATGTAAGCCTGACGAATGCAGATAAAAAGAGAACGGTCAAGTCCATTGCTGAGAAGTCTGACTAGGAAGACAGAACACAGAAGCCTGGGCTCATTGCAGTTCCTAATGTAGAGAAACCGACGCAAGGGACAGAAAACACAAATTAAAATAGAGCAAAACAAAACTTATTGAAACGAAAAATAAAATGGCCTATAGGCCAAAGACCATGTCATGATCCAAGAAAATTTCCTGTAGGTGTGCTTGTCACCACCTCATCTCAAATGATTCCTTAGGAATCCACAGACAGCCAAGCTGGCCTGACTTCCCCAGAGAGATGCTGAATGCCAGCAGGTGGTTGTTCTGAGGGCAGAGTTCATGGGGCCACAGACTTTTCCCAGGGGGCTTCCCTGCCCACTCAACTTGAGAGTCTGTGGGTCTGAGAGTCTCAGGCTTGAAGAATGGAGCAAAGTCAGCACCCAAGGACCCTTTTGGAAACGGAACAGATGGGTGCTACAAGCCAGGAAAGAACAAGGTTGAGAACTCTGGAGCAGAGGACCTGTCAAAAAGACTCTTAATGAATATCCAATTTAACTGCAGAGCTAATACAAACTTTAGAGCTATTAAATAGGATGGGATGTGATTATTGTAAATCTAGATCAAAATACATGAAAAATGTACACCCATAGGAGAGGAAGGGGAGAGGAAATATCAAAATGCTATTGTTACCTTTCAAACCATCGTACCATAAATATTCTTTAAAATTCCAAAGTGCTATGAATATGTAATACTCCGACGTCCAGACTAGGGGCTATTTTAAGAGGATGTTTTTTCTTATGGTCAGAATTACATTTTTTATTTCAACAATTCTTCTGGCTTTCTTTTACCTTTTCTCCCAAATAAAAAATAAATTTAGAAACACTGTAGTGTGTTTGTTTATGTATAGAAAAGTCAGTGAGATTATGTTTACCTAAAGTTAACGATGGGACACTTATGTAGATTATTTTCATTTAAAAAAAAAGATGCAGAAGAATGCTTACAAAAAGCAAGAAAAATACTTGAGAAATAAACTAGGAATACACCAATGTAAAGAATGTTTTCTATTAAATGGTAGATGATGGGGCTGAAATTCAGATCTGGCTGCCTGCCATCATGCCCAAATGCAGTCCTCCGTGACATTTGTCCTACACTTTCACATCTGGCGGTTCTCTGATAAGATTCTGCAGCTACTTGACAAGGTCCCACCTAATTCCTGCATTTCCTTCCACCTTCCCAGGAGACAAAACCTATCAACCGTGAAAGTACCCACAAAAAGCTTTTGTAGCCCCTGCCCACTGCTCAGGACATTCTGAGACTCTAAAACTAGAAAAGGCTCAGCCTGTGGAGAATCTGGGCCTTCCCCATGTGCTGCTTCTGTCTGCACGTTGGTAGCTGGTCACCTCTTCGGATTTATTTCTCTCATATTAGATTCAATTTGGCTGTGAGTCCACTCTCAGTGTCTCCTTTGCTCTGCAACACTTTCCCAACAATAGAAATAAGGACATTTGTTACTGTTTTCTTTGTACTTTTTTAATTTAATTTTTTTCCAAAAAATATGTAATCATATGAGTGTGTTTTATTGTTATTTATTTGAAAGGGAGAGAAGGAGAGGGATGAGGGACAGAGGCAGACATCTCCCAATTCACTGGTTCACTCTTCGAAGCTCTTCTATGCGGGTGCAGGGTCCCAAGGCGTTGGGCCATCCTTGACTGCTTTCCCAGGCCACAAGCAGGGAGCTTGGAATAGAGCAGTCAGGACATGAACCGGCACCCATTAGGGATCCCAGCACATGCAAGGCAGATTTAGCCACTGAGCCATCACACTGGGCTCCACGACTAGTATTTTATAACAAGTGTTGAAAGGTTCTTTCAAACCAACCAGAAGAAGCCAACTTAAGCCAGGTTCAAGAATGTTGTAAAAGAGGGAGCAAGGGTCTTCCCCAGGCACAGAGCCATGCACAAGAGTGATCCTTTGGCTATGAGGGTAGTGATGGGCTCATGAGGAATTCCCAACAGCTGCTGGGGCTCCTCTGCCCAGGCAATTGCAGGCATACAGACACTTAGGCCTGGAGTCCCCCTCTTGGCACCTGCTCCTCAATCCAGCATGTGACAGGTTCCAGTGAAGTTGAGCCTAGCATCTCCTCTTCCAAGGACCTCCCATCCCAACCCTCAGTATAGTGGCCCCACCCAGAGGTCTTTAAACCTTTAATAGAGCATGCTAGGTGCCTGGCTTAACGGGGAACTACAGGCTCATCCTCTCCGGACCCAGCCTTCAACCAGCCTGGGTAAGGTAGGCACTACCTGATCTGGACTGGCATACCTGATCTTGAACTCCCTGGCACTCATGCACGGAGGGCTTTAGAGGAACACTGGGACTCTGCCAGTGTCACCCAGCTGGCACCCATGCAAAGGGTGGCAGGGCCTGGGAATCAGCTGTTGAGAGCACATCTTGCAGGGAACAGAAGCCATGCCTGTGTGGGCTGAAGCTTCCATCTCGGGGTGTGTTTTTCCCTGACCCACCAGCCTCCCACTCACAGACTACAAATGCAAAGAGAGAATTACTACAAAAATCCTGGCAGTCACAGAAGACTGTTCAGCCAAGAGTGTTTGTTGGAACAAAGAGAAAATAAATCCAAAGAGGGTGATCAGTCGCCAACATGCTGACAGGAGGGGTGTGTTGCAGATACCCAGTCTTTCAACGGGCTGGGTCTTTCCTAGTTTGAGGATCTTGGGGTATTTGGAGGAGTAGGGGAGTTTGGAGAAATGGGTAAGTGGGCAGAGACTGGAGTTGCTTTCTTGTGGGCATCGTAGTTGGAAGAAATGCAGGGGATGGGTCTTTTGGAATGCAGGTGCCTGTCCTGGGTGGGGGATTCCTTTAGTGACAACCCTAAGGTCATGAGTGACACCCATAAGGTCAGCCCCAGGGGACCCTGGGGGCAGAAGCTGGCCCTCCCGGCAGAGACGAGACTAGGCAGGCTTTAGGGAGACTGCTCTATTTGAAGTCGGGGAGAGTTTTAAAGGTCTCTATTAAAATAACTTCGGGCAGGAGGTACAGACATTGGCTGAAGATGTTTAGACCGCACGTTGGAATGCCGGCAAGGGTCTTGGGCTTGAGGCACACCCCCACTCCCCCACTCCCCCACTTCAGCTTCCTGCAAATACGCACATGGGAGCCTCAAGCAGTAAGGGCTCTACTGCCCACACAGGTGTCTCAGCTGTTGCCAGCATTGGAGAGTAGAACAGCATGTGGCAGATCCTTCTGTGTATGTCTCTCAACCCTTTCAAATCAATTTTTAAAAAGTTTTAAAATTTAAAAAAAAAAAGGCAATCCAGACTAGAGAACAAAACTCAAAACTAGATTTTTGCAAACAAGCACAAATCTGTTTGTCAGACATAAGGTTCAGAGTAGAGTTTGGGTCATCAGGAACAAAACAAGGGGAAGTGGACTTCCTGCTCAGGGCAGGAAAGCAGAACCTCTGTGTGTGTTAGAAGTTCATGTTTGGGGACTGGATCTTCATTGCCAGATATGTAACAGAAAATTGATATAGAACAGAAGATATATAACGGAGTTGCATCAGCTATAACAGCAGCAATTGAGATGTGCCCAGCATCTAAAGGAGTGGGTGCAACCATGCATCTCCTCCACTGTGAAGATGAGGATTGGCACCAAATACATCACAGAGGTCTCCTAGCAGGTGTTTCTAAGTAGGCGTTGTACAGTGGGATAAGCTGTGGGCCAAGGGGCCTAAAAGTCTCATCAGTGTGCAGGTAGAATGTGCAGCGGGAATACAAATGATGACATGGAGCTTCTTGGACAAGACAGTCAAGAGGACCTGTTAAAGGAAGTTTTTGGCTTGGGCTCAATCTGCTACATCATGACACGATTTTTGCTTTGGATCTGAAGCCTTAGACCCCCTAGTGTTTGAGGTGTACAAGAGCCCAAGGACAGAGTGAACAAGACCTGCTGGAGCTCTTTGCCTTTCTTGAAGAGTTCCTTTCTTACCTCAACAGTGGAACAGAATTCTAACTACAACTCATAACTCAGATGCTAATAAAATACCTTTTTAAAAAAAGATTTATTTATTTATCACAAAATCAGATATACAGAGAGGAGGAGAAAGAGAAGAGTATCTTCCATCCAACTGATTCATTGCCCAGTGTCCTCAACGGTTGGAGCTGTGCTAATTCGAAGCCAGGAGCCAGGAGCTTCTTCCCAGTCTCCCACATGGGTACAGGGTTCCAAGGCTTTGGGCCATGCTCCATGGCTTTCCCAGGCCATGAGCAGGGAGCTGATGGGAAGTGGTGCAGCTGGGATAGAAACCAGTGCCCATATGGGATGCGGATGCCAGCATTTGAAGGTAAAGGATTAGCCTAGTGAGCTATGGCACTGTCCCACACCCCTCAAATATATATATTTGAAATGGTGAAATCACAGTGGAGCAGGGACTATATGTGCATTTTCATGTCTGTTGTCTAAAGAAGAGGGAGGGTTAGGAGATATACTTTTTGTTTATGTTTAAAGGCATTCTGGAAGATTTGGGGGAAAGAAAAATCTTTTAAAGGAACAAGATTCCTCAGTAGGTTTTTATATGCTTAATTTTTTGAAGGAAGTGACTGTTTATATTGTTTGAAAGTTTAGGACTGTTCCCAAAAGGCTGACAATGTGACCCAGCAGGTGAAGCCACCATCTACAACACCGGTGTCTCATACAGATACCTGTTCATGTCCCAGCTTACTCCACATCTGATCTAACTCCCTGCTAAGGCACCTGGGAAAGCAGTAGAGATTGGCTTGCAGTTCTAAGGCTTTGCTAGCCACACGGGAGATCAGGATAGCGTTCCAGACTCCTGGTTTCAGTCTGGCCCAGCCCCAGCTGTCAGGGCCACTGGGGGAGTGAAGCAGCGATGGAAGATGCCTCTTCAACTCTCTCTCTTTCCTACTCTTAACTCTGCCTCTCAAATAAATAAATAAATAAATAAACCCTGTCTTTCAAAGAATATCCCCACTGGCTAGGAAGAAGGTCGGTGTGAGAAACTGAGGAAGGGTGAGTAAGTGCGTGGGGTCCAGTCCCATGGAGGGTAGAAGAAGCCTGGACTCGGGAATCTGACCATATTGCTGGCCTAGTGCTCTGATCTTTGCGTCCGTGCTTCTCTTTACAATTGGGACACCAGAATTTAGCTCACTTGCTCTGATTTCCCTTCAGGTGAGAACGAAGCAGAGTTTAAAAAATAACCAAGAAAGATGCTTTTGAAGCTGAGTGTTGCAGCCATCCAGTCCCTTCATTTTGGTGCTTTGGGTAAGTGTTACTTTCTATCCTAACTCTTGCAGGAACAAGCCTATGATGTCCTCAGCACCAGGGCCCTGCCTAGTGTCCAGTCACCTGTAGCAGCTGTGTCAAGAGTGACATAGAACTCAGTAAAGATGAGGAACACTTTGTGTGTAATTTGAAGATGATTTCTTTTGGTTGTCCAGGGTAGAATTTGTCGCCCTATTTGGGGAGGAGCGGGGAGGAAAGTCAAGCTCCTTGGAGCCGGTGCAATAGCTCAACTGGCTAATCCACTGCTTGCAAGTGCCAGCATCCCGTTTGGGTGCTGGTTCCTGTCCCAGCTGGCTATTCTATTTCCTCTCCAGCTCCCTGCTTACAACCTGGGAAAGCAGATGCACATGGGAAACCCAGGAGAAGCTGCTGGCGTCTGGGTTTCTGATCAGCTCAGCTCCGGCCACTGTGGCTGGAGTAAACCAGCAGATGGAAGATCTTTGTCTCTCCTTGTCTATAAAGTCTGCATTGCCAATAAAATAAATCTTTAAAAAAAACACAAACACACAATTAAAAAAAGAAAAAAAAGATCAAGCTCCTTATCTCCTACCACATCCATCAGGCTGAAAGCTCATCTCTGAACCCTGCTGGTTGTAATTTTTTTCCTTGAGTGCTATTGATCAAACCCTCTCACTGCCTTCCCACTGATCCCTTTTCCATGTCCCTATGTCATCTTTTCCATGGTTTAGCAGTAGAGAATCTATGAGAGGGATGGTTCTCTGGGTGCAGGCCATGCCTGCACTTGACAATGGTTAGCATCCTTGCTGTCCTCTTACTAAAATGCTGGTAAGCCCAAATCCCTAAAGTCATTGTCACATCCAGACAAAAGGACCCCATGATGAGACTCACCAGTTTCCACCAGGAAGTTTATTAATTAGCAACATGCTCATTCACATTTGGAGAATGTTCTAGGAAGATAAGCGCTTCTCAGGGTATACCATTAACCAGCCCAGTCCTCGTTGTTAGTGTCAGATCTTGCATAGATCTGCTTTTGCATAAACTCAGGGTATAATTCTTAGACCACATGTTGCTAGGCAGACAGCTCCCATCTGCTGGTTTACTCCCCACATGCCCACAACAGCTGAGGCTGGACTGGCCTTAAACCAAGAGCCAAGAACTCATAAGGGTAGCAGAGACCCAACAACTTAAGCTATCACCTGTGCCTCCTGGGTGCATGTCTGCTGAACCTGCAGTCAGAAGCCAGAACTGATACTCAAACTCACATACTCTAATATGAGATGTGGCTGTCCCCCCAGATAACATCTTAAACAACAGCTCAAACACCCACCCCTGGTTTTTTGTTGCTTTTTATCAAGCACAAGAAAGTTTGAATCCAATATGAATACATGTATAGAGAAGACGCTGAAACTTAGAGCGATGATTCTAAGTTGAGCCCAGAGAAAACTTGGTTGTTTTCTGACATGTTTTTCTTCTTCCTAGTGTACATCAGCCTGATGTTTGGGATTTCATGTGCTTGGCCTGGTAAGAGATTTTGGTGTTTTGATTACATTTTGAATAAACTGTTGAGGTGACCATTCGATTTCTTATCCCAGATCTTTTGTCTATTTTATTGGAAGCCTGTAAAAGGGAAAAAATTATGACTAATTTTTCTCAATGCTATTTGTAGAAATTAACACTAGAGGTCATTTGAAAAACCCTTGAAAGAATATTCAAACTCTTACTATTCTCACTAATGGAAGAATGGGGAGGCCCCAGTAATGCCAAACAAAAAAAAATTATCTAGAAATAATTTCCATTTCATTTACATTCTTCCCACTTGTTCATTCCAGATAAGGAAAAAACATTTTTTTAAAAGTATGACCACTTCTTGGTCTTTTGACTAAATAATACGTCAACTGAATTTCTTATCTACTTATATAAATTAGTTTTAGATCTCCACTAAACATTCAACAGGTGTCAGATCTTGTGATAAACACAGTTGACCACCACAAAGGCCTGAGCACTAATAACAGGAAATCCAGAAGTTCGTTACAACTTTTTACCGTATAAGGCAGAGCTTGACAAGGGGTAGCCTTCGATTCTCAGCTGCCACCATGCTTCCGGGCTGCATAACACTGTATAACAATTCAGTTTCCTGATCTGTAAAATGGACCCATGAATGCTACCTACTGGGACGTTGTTGGAAGCCTATGGCCTACAAAGGGCCGGTCTACAGAAGGCCACACCTACACTCCCACCTTCTGCTTCTCTGTAACAAGAAGGAAGTGCAGTGGGGAATCCAGTGCAAGAGCAGATTGTAGTCCTGCTTAAAGAGGACTTGATGGAAGGAGGAGCGAGGAGCTGGGTTGAGGGGCTGGCATGGGGATAGTGAGGGATACACTCCATGTAGTCCAGGAGGATCTGAATTGTTTGGGTCTCATGACATCCCTCAAGTCACCAATAATCAGAACAACCCTTCTGGACAAATTCTGCTTCCTTGAACTTGCTTGCTCCAAAAATGTGTTGCTCATTAAGAAGCTATGTTGATTAGCTCATTTCCTGTATCCAGCAGATTTACTGTGCTTCAAGACCCAATGGCTATCCCAAGGGAAAGGTTGAACAGTGGCCAAAAGACACCCTGGCTCCAAACACCAATGCTTTTCTCTGCCACCCCCTACCCCTTTCAATTTTTCAGAGAAACCCTGTGTTTTTAAAATGAAATTACAGAATCTACGGCCAGTTTTATCATGGGAATTCAAAAATGATTCCATTGTACCAGCTTACTACAATTTGCAGTACACAATCATGAGGTTAGTTGACGTCTTTTTTCTTTAGCTAAATATGCTCTCTTTTTGTTATCAGTGTTTACTCTCTCTGTCAGATTTTTATTCACAGAATTAAAAAGCTAAAGGCACCATCCGTTTCTCATTAATTGTTTCCCTTTAATAATCTAAAGCTGCTTGTGACAATTCTTGCATTTATATTCAAAGCTAGTTTCTGGAAGTCAGAATTCCATAAGCAAAACAGTTATTGTGTATGGTCCCCGCAATGCTTTCTCTAACTTACTCAGCCTCAATGTTTCCTAAAAGTCCAAAGATCTGTTGACAGTATCAGTGATTTCTGTTCACTCTTCTTTACTTAGGGCCATCTGTGGGGCACCAGTAGACACTAGTAGACACTGGGTGCAAAGTCTAGTTTAGTCACTAATGTCACTAATCAGATTACCACTTGGGATACAATGTGACTTCCATTTAGGGGTTGTTGCAAGGGTCAATGATATGATGTGTGGAGCCTTCTTCAGTTTCCTTCTGCCTGTATCCAATAGTCACATTCCTAAGGCATTGTTTTGAGCCAGCAGGCCCTTGGAGAATCTCTTTGTGGGCTGTTTATCTGGCTGGTGGGTATCTGGAAGTTTCCTTCTGCCTTGTGCAGGCACAAATCTCACCCACTTACCTTTCTGAAGCTTGATAGATAGAAATAACAGGGCTGCCTGAGGCACAGGACTGTGCAGCTTTACTCCAGGGGGGACGGTGTTTCAGAGAAAGAATTAAGAGTTGTCCTTTAGGGAAATGCTGAATGGGGACCTCTACTGTAAAAGTTCAATCATTCATTCATTGGACAAATGTTGACAGAGCAAGGGATCCAACCATGGACCCAAGTCCCTGCCTTTCGGGAGCAGACATTCTGAAACCGGGCAGAGACATCATTAAACAAATGAAGATGCACTGTAGCAGGAGAAAGTGAACACGATGAAAATTAAAAAAAAAAAAGTAAAAGGACCAGGATAAGAGGGATTGAGGTGCAGAGTTGTGGGCGGTAAGGGGTTACAGCTTACATAAGGTGCTTAGGGAAGGTGGCTTGATGTGTGTGATATGAGATATTTGGGCAGAGTTCTAAAGGAATGAGGAAATAAGAAACACCAAAAATAGTTTCTCATGAGATAAAGTTGTCCTTTTTCCATCTCTTTTCATCCCAAAGTAAACCAGAACCTATGAAAACTATTGAAAGCTGTACAAACATCACAAGCACATTTTGTGACCTGACAGAGGCATGGGAAGACTTTTATGAGAACTACTTCATCCTAGTGGAAGGATTCCAAGGGGCTGCATCGTTGGTGAACTGTTCGGCCGTTTTCACGTCTGTGGACTGTGAGTGGATCTCTGTTTGCCAACTTCCTCATCATCCAGAGCATCATTTGTACTCTGCCATGAGATGGGGAGGGCTGGAAAAGTGTTTTAGGCTCCTGGCGTAGGTTCAGCCCTGGCTATGCCATCTCTTGCTTTGCAACTGCATTAGTTCCTTGGCAGCTCTGAGCTTTAAGTTTTCTTTTCTGAAAACATTATAAAACCGTAATCTGGGCTTTGCAGATTGTCTCCCAGTGCCTAAACAAGGTGGCCCTTTGGGCAGTCCTAGTCGCTGTTTTTCTGTTCCTTTCACAGTCTGACAGGATGTGGTACCTCTGCTCCCCGTGAGGTAACCCAGTAGCTCTTGCACAAGGGAGCACCATATGATGCCCAAGAGTACAGCTGCGTCTTCTTTCTGTTTTGTTTTAAAGATTCACTTATTTTAAAGCCAACAATACAGAGAGAGGAAGAGAGAAATTTGCCATCTGCTGATGAACTTCTCACATGACTGCAACAGCTGGGGCTAAACCAGGCCAAAGCCAGGAGCCAGGAACTCCATCATGGTCTCCCATGTAGATTGCAGGGGCACCACCAGCATCCCATATGGGCACTGGTTCATGTCCCAGCTGCTCTGCTTCCATTCTAGCTCCTTGCTTATGGACTGGGAAAATAGTGAAAGATAACCCAAAGCCTTGGGACCTGGCACCTCAACAGGAGACCTGGAAGAAACTCCTAACTCTTGTCTTTGAGTCGGTTCAACTCTGTCTACTGCAGACATTTGGGGAGTGAACCAAAGAATGGAAGATCTTTCTCTGTGTCTCTCCTTCTCTCTGTAAATTTGCTTTCCAAATGAAAGCAAATAAATCAAAAACCAAAAACAGAACAAGGAGCTGGATCAGAACGCAGGCTCCATGGCTCCATCAGCCCTCCCATATGGATGGATGCCAGCATCTCAGGCAGTGACTTAAACACTGCACCACAGTGACGGGCCCCTGGAGTTGCCCCATCTTTCTTTTCCTATGCTTGGAAACAGCTCCCTAAGACAACTTCAGCTCCATTATTTTTCTTTTCCTAATCTCAGAAAAATGTATGAGACTGCTACAATTTGTGTTTGCTATAGATCTGTGTGTAAATATGCCTATAAAAGCAAATATTAACTTCCAGATCATTATGATTTATTAAAGAATGCTCACTTAAGTAATAATGAGATATTTTTCATGATTCAACCAATAACTATAAAAAAATGCATGAAGAGCCAGATGGGGGAGGGGGCAGTGTGCTTTGTCCAGCACAATCCTGGGAAGGGATTAGGTGTGTATTGAAACTTTACCACAGGGCCTGGCAGTGTGGCCTAGCAGCTAAAGTCCTTGCCTTGAATGCACCAGGATTCCATATGGGTGCCAGTTCTAATCCCAGCAGCTCCACTTCCCATCCAGCTCCCTGCTTGTGGCCTGGGAAAGCAGTCGAGAACGGCCCAAAGCTTTAGGACCCTGCACCCACATGGGAGACCCAGAGGAAGTTCCTGGCTCCTGGCTTCGGATTGGTGCAGCATTGGCCGTTGCGCTCACTTGGGGAGTGAATCATCGGACGGAAGATCTTCTTCTCTGTCTCTCCTCCTCTCTGTATATATGACTTTCCAATAAATAAATAAATCTCTAAAAAAAAAAAAAAAAAAAAGAAGGAACTTTACCACAGACCTGCCCACACCCAGAATTGCTCTCTAGTCATTTGTCCTAAAGAAATTATTAAGGAAAAGTAGAAAAATTTAGCTCCAAGAAGACTCAATGATATGTTCATTTTTAATACATGTTTTAGTTTTAAGATTTGAGATACATTGATTCTACTCAGAGACATTAGCGACAATCTCAATCTCATGAATCGGTTGAATCATGGTGTGGCCACTTAATAAGATAGAATTAGCTGTGAAAATCAAAGCATCCTGTCAGACTTTCTGAGAAGAGCCAGAAGATAAAATTTTTTGTGGGCCACGTGCCCACAAAAATCTATCATATTTCCTTGTTCAGTTTCATTAAACAACTTAAAACAAAATGAAAATCATTCTGAAATTGAAGACTGTGCAAGCATCCAACTTGTGGTCCACGATTTCCCAGCCTTTATGCTCCCAGGTATATATTAACTTGTTTCTAAAATTATAGACTGTGCAAAACTGTAGGTTAGAATGATTTCATAGTATATGTATGTTTAATAATTGCACTATATATGTTCGTGTGTACATATGCATGCACTCATTTAGATTTGTGTGCAAGGATTTCAAGCAGTTTTTTAAAGATTTATTCATTTATTGGAAAGCCAGATATACAGAGAGGAGGAGAGACAGAGAGGAAGATCTTCCATCCAATGATTCACTCCCCAAGTGAGCGCAACGGCCGATGCTATGCTGATCCGAAGCCAGGAGCCAGGAACTTCCTCTGGGTCTCCCATGTGGGTGCAGGGTCCTAAAGCTTTGGGCCATCCTCGACTGCTTTCCCAGGCCACAAGCAGGGAGCTGGATGGGAAGTGGAGCTGCTGGGATTAGAACTGGCACTCATATGGGATCCTGGCGCATTCAAGGCGAGGACTTCAGCCACTAGGCCACGCTGCCAGGCCCTCAAGCTTGTTTTGCACTGCTTTTAGTTCCTTTTCCGGTGCACTTTTTAAAGCAGCCATGGGTAGGTATAGTTATCTACACGTCACATAGGCAGAAGATGATTAGCCACATATAAAGAAAACTGCCTGTTCTTGTTTCCTGCCATGATTATCTATTGCTATTCTAATTTGAAGTCTATTTTACTTTCGTGTTTTAAATACAAACAATTGAAAGTTACTGACTTCCAACCTGAATCTTTCCTCAGGTTTCCATGGCTCTGTTAACCAAACCACCTCACTTTTACTCTTCTTAAGATTTTCACCTATGAAATTAAAATAGCACATGCTACTTTTAGAATCATTGGCCAGACTTAGGTTGTATCGTGCCAGTGGGAGACACTGTTCTGCAGTCTTTGGCTGATACCGGGTTTATTTTCTTTCTGTTTTCTCCCACAGTATATATTGAGCCACCAGAGTTTGAAATTACTGACTTCACAGACCACATTAATGTTACAGTAAAATTTCCATCCAACCTCCCCAAGGTACTGAGGAACAATTCAGAAGATTACTTACAGCTCATCATCAGTGAGGAGACTGGAGGGATGGTTAAGACGGTAAGTGATCCCTAGGGGTAAGTCAAGTCAGTTTGGCCTTAGCTGTGGACACATGTGCCCCCTTAAATAAAGCAATCTGTAGTTGAACTGCTCAGGCACCTCAGGGTGGTCTGGCTTTAGAAAATTCCTCTTTGTGGTTTGTTCATTGTAGCAATGTGTAGAGTTGGCCCAACAGCCCCAGTCTTTAAAAGAGTAAGTCACATGTACAATGTTAGGGGACACCCAGAAGAGAGAGATGAATGGTATAGACCAGGACAGCAGTCAGATTTCAGAAAACCAAAGTGAGAATGCCTTGAAGAGTAGTTTAGCTGGGCTACATGTGTTGTACAAAAAGTATCTGCCTGCCCCTGCTGTTCTCACACACAGCAAGAAAACTGGCCCTTCCCAGCAGCTCTGTCCCTTCCTGATTTCCCCTTTGGGGCCCAACTAAAGGTCAGTAACCTTGAGATGACCGCAGTATCATCAGACAGATGTGGATCTTCAACTGCCTAGTGTCCCGAGCTACCCAGATGACGGGAATAAGCAATGAAAATGGATAAACCACATCCAGCAGGCGGCCCTGCTGTCACAGCGGCTTAGCTTTGGGGAGCTCATTTCAGTCCAAAATTCTTTTTTGAGTAAGACTAGCCCACAAAACTCTGGGTAGAGTCCTTTCGGACACAGAGCACAGGCCGGCCAAGGATCCTAAGTCCGCAGTGGGCCCTGTGGATCTGAGGAATGACAGGGAGAGGAGTGTAACCAAGAAGGGAGGGTTGGAGGAAGTGAGGTCAGAAGCCAAGGGACAGACCCATTAGGGCACTGTGGGCTTAACAGGTCATCCCACAAGCGTATTAAGAACAGATCACAGGGGGCAGAGCTGGAAGTGTGGAGACCAGCTAGGACCTTGTTAGGATGATAATCACTTCACTGGCAGTAACAAATTACATTATCACTTTGTATTTAATACCCGTATGAATTATAGTCTACACACCACAAAATGAGAGAAAAAATGTGAGTTAATGCGGCTCAGGGTGCATATCAAAGGACATTACATGTATTTTCACCATTTCTCATTTATTTTTAACCCATGAACCATTACCTATCTGAGGTAACTATTCTTTTTGTTATTATTATTTGAAAGACAGAATTGGGGAGGGAGAGAGATCTTCCATTTGCTGGGTCACAGAGGCCACCGCTGTACCAGGCCAAAGCCAGGAGGATTCATCCTGGGCTGATTAGGATGTGGACAATACTAGATGTGGAAAATCATCATTAATAAGGATCTTATTCACAAGAGAATACTCATCCTTAAGTTAAACCAAGCAGGGGAAAAGCTATTGATGTAGTCCACGGAGCAGATGGTGTTTGCTTGGACTGCCTGGTGGCTGTGGGGACACTGAGAAGTGATCAGTCCTGCACAGACCTTGTGAGTGCAGTGAACAATGCTTGCATATTGGCTGCGTGATGTTGCAGGAATGGAGTGTAGGAAGATGTGGACCAGTTTCCTTAAACCTAATACAATGCACTCAGTGAAGTCCACACAGACCACAGCAAGCAAAGGCTTATCGCATGAAGAAGCAGAAGGAGGCCAAGAACCAAAGCTCAGATCAATGCTTCCAGGACTGGGGACCCTGAAGGCAACTGGCACTGTGGTTTTCCAGCACTTCGTCTTGGGTGAGGACCCTTAGTGTAATTTTGAAGTCACCTGCTGTGTAGGCCATCTGGCCATTATATCCATATGCAGCTTCTAAGTGAAGGATTTCCAAGCCTGCATTTTTTCCCCCTCATCTCCAGGTAGTCTTATTCTGTCTTTTACCTCAAGCTCTAGGATAAGGGATTTCAGTTAAACAGAGAATTTGGGGATTTACTTTTTTCAACTTCCCCCTTAATCTTATTGCCTTTCTGCCTCAGTATAGCAGAAAAAGAACAAAGTCAGGTCTCTGATGCTTTGGTTATGGACCAAGGAGCTATGAGTTGGTTATCAGCACTCAGTTTTGGATGTGCTTAATCAAAGTACCCAGAAGGCACCTTGGAGGAGATGTTTGTTGGCAGGAATTGGATGTACTGAGCCTAGAATCTGGGGAAGAACTCCCAGTGAGGAAAATGTACTTAGGGTCATTGGCTTTGTGATGTCTGTTGGATTTCCTCAACTATTAAGTGGGGGCACACAGAGAAGAGATGTCCACGGATGGAACTCCAGAATGTTCTAGAATGTGGAAGTCTACCAAGTGAGGAAAAAACAGCAAAATGGACTAAGAAGGACCCAACCTATGTGGTGGGAAGAGAACTAGATGAGAGTGATGTCCTGGTTGCTGAGAGAGGAAAGTTCTGGAAGGAAAGTGGGAGCTATTGAATCAAATGTTATAAATGAGACAGGTTAGGACCATGAACTGAAAATTTTGGTCTGGGCAACACGGTAGGCATCGTGCCCTTAATAAGACAGTTTTGGTGGGGTAATGAGGGCAAGGCCTGGATTGGGTGAATTCAAGAAAGAAGGGCAGCTATAATGGAAGACAAAGGAGAGGCTATCGAAGAGTTTTCTAGAAAACAATGCATATTGGTAGCTACCAGGGGAAGTAGGAGAAGAGGAGAAACTTTTGAAGGTAGAGGAAATTGTAGCATGTTTGTATGTAGATAGAGTCTTCCAGAAGGTCTTGTTGCAGTGTGCTAGTGCAGGTAAGAGTGGATGGTGGAGCAGGTGAAGGTTAGCCTTGCTTGTAGACTTACTGAAATTGTGCCATGGCTGCACCCAGCAAGGCACCTGGATGCTCTTCCTTCTGCCACACAGCCTCCCATAAGAGATGTGAGAGCCCTACTGTGGTACTGGGTATAGAGCCTGGTGTAGTGGCTCAGTGGCTAAATCCCACTATGATACTGGGTATAAGGTGTGGCGTGATAGCTCAGTAGCTAAATCCCACTGGGATACTGGGTACCTTGATCCCCATTTGCTACTTTATTATTTGCATGCATGACCTTACATGTTACCCTGTTTCATCATTTCTCTCCCTTGCCAACAGAAACACACTATCACAAAAGACTGAATTTCTAGAAATCCACATTTATTCAGCCGCTAGTAAGCACGCATTTTGGAAACTATAAAACATGATATGAGAGTTTCTCTTCATGAAAGGCTTCATATCTTCTTGTAAATTCTGGAACAGAACCAATTTGAAGGGAAAGAAGAGGCAGGGTGTTTCCAGAGACAGGAGAGTGGCTGCCTGGAGCTGTGCAGTATCCTCATCTGTTGAGCAGGGAGATGCCTGCTTTGCAGATAGTTTTGGAAATCAACCAAGTTAAGGGCATATTATAAAAACTATGCAGAAATTTCAAGTGTTTTTTTTAAAGATTTGTTTGTTTTACTTAAAAAATCAAAATTATAAAGAAAGGGAGAGAGAAATATCTTCTATCTGCTGGTTTATCCCCAAATGGCTGCAAAAGCTAAAGTTGGGTTCATCTGAAGCTGGGAGCCAGGAGCTTTTACCAAATGTCCCATATGAGACCAGGGGCCCAAAGACTTGGGACAACCTTCTCTGCTTTCCCAGGCCAAAAGCAGGGAACTGGATCAGGAAGCAGAACAGCTGGGGTACAAACCAGCTGCTCCAGCAAAGGGAGGCTTAACCTGTTAAGCCATTTGCCAGCCTTTGTGCTGGGATTTCTTACTTATTTTGTTACCAAAATCAGCTTTTCTATTTTAATTCCACAACCTGGATTTCACCTTTTCATTTGAGAGCGAAAACACGTGCATGCCCATCTGTTGGTTCACTCGCTGAGTGCCGGGGAGGGCCGGGGGCACACAGTAGGGAGAGGGTTAAAGCCAGGACCTGAAGCTCAGTCCAGATTTCCTATGTGGGTCAAGGAACCCTATTCCAGGAGCCACTATTGCATTAGGAGCATTGTGCATTAGCGGCATGCTGGAGTCAGGAGCTGGAGACACCTCGCTGTGAATCACGGGGGTCTTAACTGGCTGCTCAACTCCTAGGCCAGCTCTGGTTCTTGCATCAGTTGAGGAGTGAGCCAGTGGAAGACCCTTCTCTCTATTTTTCTCTCTCTGTAGTTCTGCCTTTACCATAAATAGTTGTGTTTTTTTTAAAGATTTATTTTTATTATTTTTTCATTGGAAAGGTGGATATACAGAGAAGAGAGACAGAGAGGAAGGTCTTCTGTCCGATGATTCACTCCCCAAGTGAGCGCAACGGCCAATGCTGCACCAATCCGAAGCCAGGAGCCTCTTCCGGGTCTCCCACGCGGGTGCAGGGTCCCAAAGCTTTGGGCCGTCCTCAACTGCTTTCCCGAGCCACAGGCAGGGAGCTGGAAGGGAAGCGGGGCTGCTGGGATTAGAACTGGCACCCATATGGGATCCCAGGCGTACAAGGCAAGGACCTTAACCACTTGCGCCACCGCGCCGGGCCCAATAGTTGTGTTTTTTTAAAGCTGATTGCATGGATTAAAAAAACAATGTTGCAACAAAGCAATATCTTTTAACTCTATTTTCCAAGAACTTTGCAAATTACCCTTGTCTGTGCTTATATGCATGTACGTAAGAACATATCCTTATCATTTTATGGTAAGTTAATTGTTGCAAGTGACTCATAAATTTCTTCTCTTGCCAAATCTATAATATTTCTTAACTCTAAGTTAGCTCTATCTTTTTTTAAGATTTATTCTATTCTTTTTAATTTTGAGTTTTATGGTACAATTCCATTGGGTTTGGAATTTCCCTATCCCCTCCCCAAATTCCCAACCCCCCCGATTAATTTTCCCCATATTATTACAATAGTATAGTCCTTCATAAGCAGTCATAAGTCCATCAGTCTGTTATTTAAATGTTATTTAAATATTGCTGATACAGACAATGTCAGACAGCCCAGCATCCCAGTATTCACTGAGTTTCATTGGAAGTTGAACAGTTTCATTGAGAGTCCATCTTTGATTTGCAAGTAGAGAGGAATGCTGCATTGTATGTTCACATCTGGATATGGTAGTCTCTATCGCACCATCACTATGCATTTCCTTAAATGAGAAGGTACAAATCAAAGTCAACAACAACAGGTATGAAGCTAAAACAGAAAATGTAGTACCATGGAGTCAAAAAACATTCCACTTAATAAACAACGTATGGGTGAAGAAATGAAAAAGGAAACACAAAAGCCTTTTGGGTACAGTGAAGCCACAGTGCGATCCAGGAGCCAGCCATCTTAACCCTACTGAAGGCAAATTCCCTAAGCTCCTTGTAGGGTCTGCCTCAGGAAAATTCTCACATAACGTCTGACTGATATGTTAATTATTTTGACAGCATAAACCTGGGATACCAAAAAACATCAGTGGAAATATCAGCTATGTCATTGAGAAGTTGATTCCAAAAAGCAACTATTGTGTGTCTGTCTATTTTGAGCCTACACTTCAGACTAATGTAGTTAAACCTCCTCCAAAATGCACCCTCCTTCCACCTGACCAGGAACCAGGTATGTTCATTTTTTAAAATAGTTTTGAAAGTATATGCTTTTATTCTAAGAGAAAGCCTACAGAAGAGTCTGAGGTTCTTAGACCAATAAAGGCACAACGCAGAAGTGTTTTCTGTTGGCCAGCCTCAGCTTTCTGATAGAGTCATTCTCCTATTGTCATGCTGTGGGGCTAGTTAGACATTTACCTTTATAAAGTCAGAAATCTTTCTGAAATGGAAAGAACTTTATTTCAGGGAGTCGGGATTAGATTGAATGCCATTGTTTCCTAAGCTTGACCATTGTTGAAGCCAAATGCTACACCAGGCTGAGTTTCTCAGAGCAGCTGGATGCAGAGGCAGCCAAGAGAGCTAGAGTGGAAGCAACGAGATTGGGAGTGATTCCCAGGCAAAGGAGACCACTATTCTGGGTCACAGGTGAGAGGGGAACATGCCAGAATGGATGAGGGACTGTCAGGGATGAAGTTGTAAAGCTTTTCTCTTGCAAGATCTCTTGTAAGAACGTCAGAACAGTGAGCAGGGTGATCCTGACCCTTCCTGCACACTGAGAAATACACAGGGAACAATCCAGCCTAGGAACCTTCCTTGGATATTAATTTCTAGAAACTAACAAGGTCTCCAACTCTCACTGAAAGAGATTGAAAAAAAAAAAAACCTTCCCTTGGAGAAGCCCTGCTAAATTTCCCAGTCCCAATAGAATACCTGAAACAGGGTAAAAAAGAATGGAGATTTATTTTCCACAATTCTGCAGATTGGCAAGTTCAAGATCAAGGAGCCAAGTGAGAGCCTTTTTGCTGTGTCATATATGGCAGCAGGTATCATGTGGCAAGAATGCATGAGAAAGCGAAATCTCACTTGTATAAGAAAACCACTGCTACGTTAACCTATTCTTAAGCGCAGAGCCCCCACCACACACATGACACTTGAAGGTCCCTCTCAATACTGTCACGTGCCCTTTAACTTTTACTGTTCAAGGTCAAGCCATAACCGTGACCACAGGGGGGCCTGTTAGGAGGAGCAGATGATGCAGTTGTCACTCAACGCAGGTGTTGTGGGTTTCTGAAGCTCTGTGCTATGAGCTGGGGAGAAAGCCTGGACTCTGGCTTTTCCATATGTCCATATGTTGTATGGTTTGTTTGCAAACAAGCCTCCTCCTGACACTGAAACCTCACATGACTGATATGACAGACAGATGAGGTTTCCTGTCACATCCAAGAAGCCCTGGGGTTTTTGGAGGCAGGCATGCCATGTAGTGACTCATTGTCTCCTCCAACTCTCTCTAATCCACCTGCTGAGAAATATTCATGCCACTGCATGCTATCAGGTCCTTTCTTCTGTGGAATGCGTATATCATCATGCCTCTTAAGTCAGCCTCCATTCCTCAACCTTATCTAAGACCATTCATGGGGAGGTGGCCCCAGCTATCCAAATGCTTAATGTCTGATTCTTCTCTGACGCCACATACTGAGGCATCCCATCATCCACTTATCATCTGATTCTACACTTACTCAGGGAAAGGAGTTTGGGGGAGGGTTCCTGGATGGAGCAATAAACAGACTGACAGAGGATTATAGCCCCCAAACCTGGGGAAATACCTTCCCTCACAAATCTTCAATTGATTGCTCTTAATGGGGGCATTGAAGGGAAATTCTGTTCATTTGATGAAGGTCTCTTGGAGACAATCAGTAGGTCAGATTCTCTTCTTGATGTGGATAAATTAGTGAACAAAACGGGTAAGAATCCCAGACCTTGTGCTCATGTTCTAATAGGAGACAGAATTGCAAGGTCACAGATCAAATATATTGTGTGCTAAGTGATAGTAGCTGCTATGGAAAGAAATTAAAGCAGAAGAGGGGTGACATGAGTGGGGGATGGGGCTCACTATATCAAATAGGCAGGGTCTCTTGGTTCACGTTCCCTAGAAGCAGAGTCTGGGGTGGGAATTCTTGTTCAAGGGTGAGCTATCAGTACGGGAGAGGACAGTTCAAGAGAAAGAGAAACGAGGATGGGGTGGTAGAAATGAACTAAGCAAGCATGTGGTCCCATTCAGGCCTCCTTCAGCCATGATCTCTAGGGTTTTCCGGAATGTGAGTTGTACTCCCAAGTCAGTCAGTTGGTTGCTCCCTGATAGGATCTATGATGGACACGCCGCCCCCCACCCCCGCCAGGCCAGTATGGCAGTCCCACTCTGACCCAGAGCAATTCCTTAGAAGAGCACGTCTGAAACATGTCAACCAACAGGGGAAGTGGCACGTGGGGGTACCCAGACAGCTAAGGGGGATGTGAGCAGGACCCCTACAGCATGACAGATAGCCAGGAAGGGCCTTTCCGAGAAGGTAGATTGGAGGAAAGACCCAAGAAAGTTGTGTCATGTCCCCTTCCCCCAAAAGATATCCACACCCTAATCCCTGATAGGTGACCCTGACAAAAGGATTTTGCAGTAGTGATTACATTAAACATCTTTGAGATGGGAAGATGACCCTGGGTTAGCCAGGGGACCCAGGATGAGCAGGTGGGTCTGTGGAAAAGAAAATAGCAGGGCAGTGTGACAAAAGAAGCAAAAGTCAGAGTGAGAGAGATGGAGATGCCATAAAGGCTGCCGTAAAATACAGGAGCCTCTGGATGCTGGGACAGGGAAGGGCTTGGTGTATTTCCATGCCAATTCCAAAATATTTAGCTCAGAGAAACCCCTTACTATGCAAAATATATTTGTTATTTCATACCACTCGTAAGAAATTAATCCGGAAGGAGATGGAGGAAGTGACGCAAACATAGGAGGGGAGAGGATTGCATCCCGAGGGTCCAGCAATGCAGGCTGTCAAGCAGGATCGTGCCTGGCAGGGTTCAGCAGAAGTGAGCTAAGCAAGGCAAAGATGGTAACCTCAGGATCAGAAAAGGTGTCTGAAAGCAAGGCCCAATTATAGATACAAACTATCAGGTCCCAGTCTATCTTCCAAAGCTTTTGGTTCCTCTGTCTTCACTCTAACTCACCAAATTAAGGGTCAGGCAGCCCCCATGAGACTCCAGATCACAAACAGGGTGTAACTGTTACCTCTAACAGCCTAACTGTAGAGTGTAGTTTGAGACAGTTCACATGCACCCCAGAGCCTGATCAAATAAAGTAACCACCAATCTACCCATAGGCCCCAGACAGCCGGAGCCCGGTCTACCATCACAGCATTTTCAAAAGAACCCGCCAGCCTCCCATCACTGACCTATCCAAGGAAGGCCACGGACACTGTGGACCAGCCAGAGACGTGCACGAGAACTGATCACACCCCTCCTCGCCCCCAGCTTTACTCTGCAAGACTACCAGCCTTAATCCACCCCTCTCCCCTGTGCAAGTGAACAGTAGCTGCCTCTGTGCTTTGCAAAATAAACACCTGCTTTGTTCAGCCACCCTGGTGTCAGTGATTGGCTTGCTGTGCATTGGGTGAGCCGACCCAGGCTTGGGGGGTTCTATGACATATAGGAAGCCATTGTAGGAAACAAAGACCCCCTCGATTGCCCCCTCATGATCAAAAAAATTTCCAACAATACAAATAACTGTGGTAATGAAAAGACAGTTGTACATTTTTTTATTTAAAAAAAAAACTGCTGTAAATAACTGGCATGACGTATATATTCCACCTGCAAATTACAGTAATCTCACTTCTAAGTAGTTTCAGTGTGAAAATTACATGAAAACAAAACACTCATCTTGAAATTTGTTTAAAGAACTCATTTATGTGTTAGAATTTTTCAAGTTCATTCTAACAGATATCGGTAACTAAAATGCAGTTGTTGCTTTTACACTTACTATTTGGCTGGTTTCAAATTCACTTTGGCATTTAAATCTTATCTTTCCTTTTTTTTTTTTTTTGAGCATTTTACTTTAGTATTACCATGGGACATCAGTGTTAGAGGCCCAAATCATGGCTGATGAATTACAGAGCCTGTGGAACATGAAAAATATAATTAACCATATAGACACAGATACTATACTATTTTATTTCAAATTTTTTAGGTTGCTTTTTAAATTGCAGTCTAGCCAGCTCAACATGACTAGAGAAAGCAAAACACAAGTCTAACATTTTAAAACTCCAACTTTAACACCACCTTCATGTGTTTTCGAATGCAATTTATACTTTTACCAGAAAACAGGGCATAAGAAACAAAGACAGCCAACCTTTGGGGCAGCTGGTTAAGCTACTGGCCACCACTCCAGCAGCCCATCTGGGTGCTGGTTCAAGTTCTGATTGCTTGCTTTCTAATCCAGCTCCCTGCTAATGTGCTTGGGAAAGCAGGAGCGTATGACCCAAGTGCTGGGCCCCTGCTTCCCCAACTGGAGTTCCAGGGTCCTTGCTTTGGCCTGGCTTAGCCCCAGCCCTTGCAGACATTAGGGAAGTGAACCAGTGGATGGAAGTTGGATCTCTCTCTCTCTCTCTCTCTCCCCCACCTCGCCATTTTTCTCTAACTCTGCCTTTCAAATAATAAATAAAGGCCCAGCATGGTAGCCTAGTGGCTAAAATCCTCGCCTTGAACACACCGGGATCCCATATGGGTGCCAGATCATATCCTGGTGGCCCTGCTTCCCATCCAGCTCCCTGCTTGTGGCCTGGAAAAGCAGTCGAGGATGGCTCAAAGCCTTGGGACGCTGTACCGGTGTGGGAGACCCAGAGGAAGCTCATGACTTCTGGCTTCAGATTGGCTCAACTCTGGCTATTGTGGCCACTTTGGGGAGCAAACCAGCAGACAGAAGGTTTTTCTGTGTCTCCTTTCTCTGTAAATATGACTTTCTAAAAAAATCTTTTCAAATAATAATAATAAATAAAATATGCATGCAATAAATATGTCCATATTTAATATTCAAATACTAAGCATAATATTTAAGTAACATATATATACCAAATCATCAAGCTTTATACTTTAAATGTGGGCAATTTTCATTTGTCAATTATACCTCAATAGAGCTGGAAGAATTTTACATGATAAAAAATTTTAGCATACAAAGAAAAACGACAGTTTTAAAGTTGAGACCACAAGTGCTGACTTGACTTATACAAAATATTTCTGCTTACGCCAATGGCCCTGTGCCTGTCGGCAGTTCTGGTCTTAAAGAGAGGAGACGAAAGGGGAGGGACAGTCCCCTCACCTGCGCAGGGACCGTCGATGGCTTGACCTTGAGCCCAGCCACAGCGGCGGCACCTCAGACACTGTCGGCCACACCCCAACATCAAAATCCACCCTGCAGAAGTGCAAAAAACCCGTGAGACCCCCGCCCCAAGCATGTGATGGAGTCTCCTAAAGTCCTTGGGAAATAGAATTAAAATGCAAGTTTACTCAGTGCAAAAAAAAAATGTGAAATCCATGGGAAAACAGGAAACCTTGAGATCCACAGGAAATCCATGCTTAGTTTTTTCACAACATGCATTTTCCATGAACTTTTGCAATCCCCTTCCTGTTAGATAGACAAAGGAAGGATTTGCACTTTTTCCCAGTGGGCTCGGTACCATCGTTCTAAGATATTCCTGGAGGTATTCCTTTATTTACCTATTTGACGGGAGAGTTAGAGGTGCAAGGCAGGGACATCCAGAGAGATCTTCCTGTGCAGATTTATGCCACAAAGTGCAGAGCTGAGCCAGAAGCCAGGTCTCCCATACGGGTGCAGGGGCCTGAACGCGTGGGTCGCCTGCTGCTGCTTTCCCACATGAATTAGCAGGGAGCTGGATTGGAAGAGCAGCCAGGACATGACGGATCACATGAGATGCTGCTGTCAAAGGCAGCGTCCAGTCCACTGCGCCACAACACCAGCTCCAATAGTGTTATCCTCGCAGCATTTTATTGGCTAGCAAATCTTGCATGGGACATATATTTTAAACTATCATAATTCAATGCCATGCTGAGTGCTACCTGACTTTGCAATAAAAATAAAATAAATCTTTGCAGAGAGGAAGATCTTCCGTCTGGTTCACACCCCAAGTGGCCACAACAGCCAGAGTTGAGCCAATCTGAAATGAGGAGCCAGGAACCTCTTCCGGGTCTTTCACACAGGTGCAGGGTCCCAAGGCTTTGGGCCATCCTCGACTGCTTTATCAGGCCACAAGCAGGGAGCTGGATGGAAAGCAGGGCCACCAGGATATGATCTGGCACCCATATGGGATCTTGGTATGTTCAAGGCGAGGACTTTAGCCACTAGGCTACCTTTCAATAAATAAATAAATCTCGAAGAAGCAACCAACAAAAGCTCCTCACTGCCACCGAGCAGGGATCCATGCAGGGAGCCTAACAAGCCCCAGGTTCCTCCATGACACTCAGTTGTAAACAGGAGACTCCCCACCAAGAAGAAGTAGGAAGCACTGGTCCATTTGCCTGAGCACCTCACCATCCCCCAAAGCAAAGGAAAACATCTTGTATTTTTAAAAAGTCTGTTCCAAGTACAAATCTGCTAAAAGATGGAGTCAGACTGTGGATACCGGGTGGGGTGTAGTTGGCACGCCCACTCCTTCAGGTGCTCCAGTTCCTACAAAGCTGCGGGGAGCGGCTTCTTGCCAAACACATGTGGCAGAGGTGGGCATTTGCCGCAGCGTGAAGGCCCACGAGGGACGCCCAACACCCACGCAGAGTGCTTGGACTCTAGTTTGGACTCCTGCTTCCTGCGGATGCTGCGCCTGGGGGTCAGCAGGCCAGGCCCGGGTGTTTGGGCTCCTGCTGCCCACGGGAGCGCCCCTCGGTGTGGGCGTTCCAGGAGTGAACCAGATGGGACCGCTCCTCCTTCCCTCTCCCGTCTCGCTCCCTCTCAAATAGATGGACCAAATGTAACTTCAAAAGGTAAGGTGTTCCAGTGATGATCATTTCAACAGAAAGCACGCTTTCCCACATTTCAAAGGAAGCCAGCATGGAATTAAACTCCATCCACAGAATTCAGTTCTTTTTCTTCTTTCCCGTGTATGGAAAGGGAAAGGAAACCATTCATTCATTAGATCGTGTGTGCGAGCGCCCTTGAACCTTGTCTGTGATTAGGAATAACTGACGTTTGAAATCCAGTGACACCTTGATTCTTTAAAACCGTCACTGGCGTAGGGGATCCTGGTGTGTTCTGTTTTCCTTTAGGCGCCACTCCTTGCTTGGAAATCCTCAGCGCGGGGACATTTACAAAGCGCAGGATCTGGGGAACCTCCGTGGTGAGTCGCGCGGGCCGCGTCTGTGTCTCCCGGCTGGCCTTCCCCTGCCCGGGATGGGAAATGATGGACAGTCGGCTCCTGTCCATCTTTAGCACTTCACGCCTGAGCCTTCATTTCCTTGAGACACAGCTCCGCCTTCAGGTCACGGCAGACATGACAGGACGCCCCTGGAGGTGGCCCATGGAAAACCTCCTCCAGGGTCACAGGCACTCAACAGGATTAACACCAGCTGACATAGACCCGGAGCCAAGCTGATGCGGTAACAGGAGACGATACACCTGCCTAATTACCGCTGCCGCCCAGGTGACATTCCTGGAGGATTCCTGTAATGAAAGGAAGAAAGGAATATTCTACAGGCTATCAGCCAGTTGTCCCAACAACATTTACTAAAGAGGCCTTCCCACTTGCTTGGACTGTCATTGGTCTTTTTGTCAAAGATTAATTGGCTGCATCTGTGTGGGTTCCCTTTTGGTGCTTCTATTCTATTCCATTGATCTTCCTTTCTGTCTTTGTGCCAGTACCAGGCTGTTTTGATAACCACTGCTCTATAGTATGTCCAGAGGTCCGGGATTGTGATTCCCCCTGCTAACTTCTTATTCTTCAGGATGGTTCTAGCTATTCGTGGTTTTTTGGGTTTCCAGATGAACTTTTGAATCATTGTATCCAGTTCCGAGAAGAATGTTTTGGGCAATTTGATTGGAATTGCGTTGAAAATGTATATAGCTCTGGTAGTATCTATCACCATACACTAAGATCCAATCTACATGGATAAAAGACCTAAACCTACATCCAGAAACCTTCAAACTCTTGCAAGAAAATGTAGGACCTAGGAGTAGGTTCCGACTTTCTAAGAAGGACACCAAAAGCAATAGCAGTTGAGAACAGAATAAACAAATGGGACCTCATCAAACTAAGAAGTTTCTGCACAGCAAGGGAAACAATCAACAAAGTAAAAAAGCAACCCACTGAGTGGGAGAAGATCTTTGCACACGATATAGGCGATAGGGGGCTAATTTCCAGGATATACAAAGAACTTCAAAACAACCAAAAAACCAAAACAAACAAGCCACTCAAGAAATGGGCATGGGAAATGGGCAAACATTTCACAAAGGAACAAGTCCAAATGGCAAACAAACATATGAAAAAATGTTCCAGCTCCCTGGCAATAAGGGAAATCCAAATTAAAACATCGATGAGGTACCACCTAACACCAGTTAGATTGGCCCACATAAACAA